CTGGGAGTTGAAGTCCACTCATCTTAAAGTGGCCAAGTTTGGACAACACTGTAGTAAGGTATCTTCGCAGCATCTTTGTCCTTCAATAATGATATATTAATGCTGCTCTAGAAGATGGGGCTGCTGCACCTTGCATGGACACAACGTGGTGCTCCAGTCTGCATGACACATTTATCTCGGGAGCCACCTGATGCATTTACTGCTGTGAGTCCCCCGACCTAGCAGGAGGTGGGACACTTTCAGCAGTAGAGGAGAGCTCCCGGAGGCCCTTCTTGAAGTCTCTCCAGTCTGCATTTGGGGGCAGAATCAATGCAAGCTTTCGGAGTCCAAGAAGTTGAGGACCTGTCAATCTATTTCTGTTAAGCTTCTGTTTCAGGCGTCCCAGTCCACCCACCCATAGGCATTCTGTTCTAGATTCTCTCCCTTTAATATTGCCCCAATCCTATTGATTTCCAAAGGCAAACAGCGTTTAAAGGGAAAAAAGAAGGCTTCTTGTCCCAAATTTGATGGGATGTTTGATGGCCAGTATTGGTATTGATATTGTGAGTGGAGGTAACAAACTCAATTTCAAAGGAAGGACAGTTCTCATTCCATTTATGGAGCACTGTTTTCTTTATGGCTGATTACAAGCTTCTGGGAAGCACAGAACTCTTTATCAAATGAATTTTCAGGGAACTGCCCCCCCCCCCACATCGCCAACTATTCCAGGCCACAGCCTTACTTACGTTAATCCTATAAATGTCTTTGTTTTGTTTGAATAAAAGCATTTGAGCTACCCAAGACTTTGTCTAATAGATGTTTGGGAGAAAAAGGTATTCAGCTAATTATTCTCTTTTACTTATCCATGTCTGTTGACTTATTCAATTTGAAAAATTGGGGGGGGGGGCTTAGACAGTTGCAGCTATGGCTTGATGGCAATCCATCATTGTATTTCCACCCACACACCCCCAGTTCCAGTCTAAGACCCTATATGGATCATGAGCTTACATTCAATACTTTAAACCTTAGCTTCTCCAGATTCAAACAGATTTCTCTTTCTTTGGGCTTCCTTGTTTTGCAGGAAAAAGCCCAAGGCTGGGAGTAAATTTTTGATTTGGCTGTTATAATATCGGGAAGAAAGAAACCATGAATATTTGCAATGGCACCAATCTTTTTCTTGTCCTGCAGAGCAGTTCTCTGTAGCTGGCATTTTTCACACCTTATGGTTAGGAAAGGCTGTGTTTGTCTTTCATTTCACAGCACTGGGATTTCAAAGGATATTAGGCCAGTGTCAGGTTTCCCTATCCAAAATTGAAAAGCAACCCAGGATGTTACAGCATAATAAAGTGTTACTTAGTACTGAGGAACCATGGTTATTGGTTTGAAGAGAAGGATTGGAGTTGGAAACAGAGGGATCCATTTGAAAGAAACGCAATATTCAAATACACTGTTGTATTTAGTTTTATATGATTGCATCTTTCAGCTATTAGAAGTCACCGAATCATCTGTGATTATCGTAATAAATCTAATAATCAGAGTGTAACCTTGGATCATATTTACTGCACACTATATTTTGCACATTCTTACCCAATGGGCCAGCGCAGCAAATTTTGCTTCTGACTTCCAGGCACGTCTTCCCTGGAATAGTACCAGCCCTGCCCAATTACAGGATTCCAGTTTGGAAACCTATTTAACTGACTTTCTCAAAAGAGCTTAGCAATTTCTAGCAAAAGGCAAGCCCACGCAAGGATTCTGCACCTTTCTGAAAGCAGTTCTAGAGCTCCCTCTGTTCCTATGACTTAAAGCAGTGTTTCTCAACCTTGGCAACTTTAAGATGTGCGGACTTCAACTCCCAGAATTCCCCAGCCAGCATGCTGGCTGGGGAATTCTGGGAGTTGAAGTCCGCACATCTTAAAGTTGCCAAGGTTGAGAAATGCTGACTTAGAGCTTTGGAGAGTTCAGCTGATGCACTTCTGGCTCGGTTGCCATGTAACTGAAATGGCTGGGGAAGGAAGATCTTTTTCTGGGAACACGATGGCCCCATTTTTGTTGGAGGGGATTCTTGATTCAAACCTGCTTCTGGTTCCTGGCTTGGGTTTCAGGTCTTTAAGTGAAATTCCTTCCTAGCTACTTTGCACCTCCTCCTGGCAGCTCAGAGCAGGGGTGAAATTATATAGGTTCCCCCCCCCCCATTTCCCATTACTCTTCAGCAAGGGACTCAGAGCAGATGCCAAGTACAAGGCCACTGCGCTCTGCTCTGCTCTGCTCTCCTGACTTCTTTTCATGCGAATCAGTAATGTCCATGCAGAATTATTCCTCCCACTTCTGTTTAGGTCTGGGTTAAAACTGCCAGCAAATCCTTGGAGAACCAAAGGTAGGAGATTCCCTCTTGTTCACAGTATAGACTTTTCTGCAAGGAAGTTCTCCTTAGATTTTCCTCCTGGTTTGCCTTACGGTGTAAATTGGCTTTTATTTCCTCCCGTATAGTCCTCTAGGGGATTGTCTTGCAAGCTTTTGACCTCTTTTCTGGCTGCTCAGCTCCAATATTTAGAATACACTTTCCATGAATGAACTGCAGTGGGATCAGATCCATGGATAGCTGCTGCTTGCAGAGAGGCAATCAGACAAGTAAGGGGAGTATCTGCAAACAGTGAGTCAGCTGCTAGACGGCACGAATTTTGGGAGCGGGAGGAAGCAGGCAGGCTTGACCAAGTTAAAATAAATGTGAAACAAACTCTTGTAAAACAGGAATAAGCAGCGTAGTTGGATTGGTGAGGCATCACATGGCATATATTTCTTCTCCGTAATCGTGTGTTTCCCCTTGTCTCAACCAAAAACGTATGTCCAGTCATGATAAATAGTCTGAGAATGCTCACCGTACCTTCTGATGAACTTGGCTTCTGCTATTTGGCTGGGCAAAACCCATCTTGCTTGATAAGACTCTCATCCAAGGAAGAATCTGCAGGGCTGTCAGCCAAACGGAACTACAGGTTTGGCTGTTCATCTGGGTCCTTGGTCAAGAGTGTGAGGAGATGGTCAATACAGCTGCTTGTTTTCCTTTCACTCTCACCAGAACATGTGTTACCAGAGCAAGATAATCTATCTCCTTTTGTATTGCTAGTTATCATATTCTGGGCCTTTGTTAGATCTTCTCCTGCTGTTCCATCCCATGGACAGAGATGTGACTTAGCTGCCTGAAAAATATGCCATTTTGGAAGCAGTTCTTTCACCCTGAAATTTCTATCTCTTCTCTTCCCCTGCCGCCCCCACCCCCGGCCAGCCCAACGTTTCCTTGCTTTGGAAATTTCCGTAAGGAGGCATGGTGTAATCCTGGCACATTTCTCCAAGGTTCATTGAAACTTGAACTTTGCCTTCATTGTTGGACAGAAACAGGCTGACCTTGAAAGGGTATGGAGGAGTTTTCTGCTCTGCTTTGGCTTGCCCCAACATTCTTCGAGTCCTTCACCCAAGCAGATCCTCTAGTCAAATGTGGTGGCAAGGATGAAACTAGACATTTTTTTAAAAAATTTGTTTTGGCTCTTTCCTCCTTTTGCCCACCATCTGTGACTTTCAATGAGACACAGGAACAAAAGTCCCAAATGACATCAGATAAGACTCAGGGTCATCTTGTGGCCTTCCTTCTTCTGAGTAGGGCATCTAGCCAGAAAGGGGCTGAGATGGAGGGGGAATCCAGCCAATCACTTTGTATGAAAGGCTTGTTTCTAGAAATCCCTCCACCTTCACCATGGCTGATTGCAGCAGCAGCATGTACTCAGTTACAGAGACTTTGTCGCTTGGACTTCAGAGTATGTCTACATTAGCAGCAGCTGCCTGAGCTCATCAGCTCGGGGCGGGGGGGGGGGGGAGGAATCTCTCCCTCCCACCCTTTCTTCTCCTTTGCTGATTTTATCATATATCACTGCTTCCTTCCTTCCTCCCTCCCTCCCTCGCTCTCTGTCTTTCTCTGTTTTGTTTTTTTTTTCCTTCCAACCTCCCCGCAGCTCCTCAACGATTCCCATTCGGTCCCTCCAGAACGCACCCCGATGAGAGTTTTTCAGCAGAGCTCCAGAGGAGCTGTTCATCTGCTCTACACAGAGGCAAGGAAGGAGTGCTGCAAAGGAGAGGAAGACGCGAACGGGCACTGGGCAGCCTGCTTTTGGTCCTTGATGACAAACTGGTGGCTGCTCCGGTAGAGCCAGGCGTGAGACTGAAAGTTGTGCCTTGGAGTTCACAGACTTGGCTGGAAAGTCAGGAACAACTTGCAGCTGGCCTTCTCCATGGACGGGAGGGTTTTCTCAGTTCAATGAAACCACCTGAGGAATGTGAAATATCCTCCTGGAGAGGAAGGAAGCATGCCAAGCCCAACTATGAGGGAGTAAGGTGGACTTTTGCTCTTCGGTTTGTTTTGAGATCTAGAGGTGGGGGGGTGAGGAAGGAAGAGTATAGGTATCTATGAAGGGAGGAGAAGAAGAGACGCAGGACCCAATGCCAGCCGCCAAGATGACAGAGACACTTCAACTGCCATCACTGCAAGTCCCAGAGCCACAGGTGGTACAGCGTGGCCATGCCTGGTCCAGTTCCTCCACTCCAACCCTGCGCCGAAGGCGTTTCAAGTTGAGGCGCACAAGGAATGCCGAAGAGCAGAATCCAGGGACTGTAACCTCCTCCTCTAAGGAGTTCCTTCAGCTTCCCTCCATTGAAATTACCCCATCCAGTGATGAAGACACACCTTGGTCCAACTGCTCCACACCTAGTGCCTCTCCCCGGCGCAAGCGCTTCCTCCTTCGCAAGTGGTTGAATGTCAGGGAGAAGAAAGAATGCAGTGAGAGCAGGTAGGTTGCCTCCTTTTATTCCCCTCATCCCTTTCATGGTTTCCATTATCCAAGAAGATTCCTTCAGGAGCTCAAACGGGACCTTTCTCTTAACTTGCCATAGCCTATGTTCCATCATGTCTATGTCTCCCTCTACTGGCTAATCTAGATCCATCTGATGAATCTTTAGTTTTGTTTTCATGGTCTCGTTTCACACCCAGTAGATTCTTGGGTTCTAGGATATTTAGAAAGTTTCAGAGGAAAACTGAGGGAATTGCCTTATAAGCAATATTTGCTGAAATAAGACATAGCTAATATGGGACTTGCTCACATTAGGACATCATGACATAGGTATCTGAAGCATAGCCAGTGAACTCTCTATACTTGCGTATGTGTATGAATATGTCTGGGCAACTTTTACACTTGTACATAAACTGGGGTTATTAGAATGAGATAATGTATCCATAGATCACCTCTCCATAACAGGTAGCAGTGTATAGAATATTGAGGAAATAGATCTCTGTTTCTTAATCTGGACAGAAATCTCCAATTCAAGTAGGAAATTCTCAGAGAATTCAGAGACCTGAACAGGTCAGTGATGGTAGCCAGTTTAGTCTAATGTGCTGCTTCTTGTTCCAAAAATGATACGTAATTTTTAAATCTGGTGGCTTGTACATTAAGTAAAAGTCAGTGACTAAACAATTCAAGTCTCATTGCAATGACTAAGAAGTAACTCTTGATGCTTCTAGCACCAAGAAAGATGGCTTCTCTGGAAAGCAAGTTGAGGATTGCTCTAATACAGCTCTGAATTGAATCAAGTTCTTAGTTGATTAATTAGCTTCCTTCTAATGAACGTTACAATTTCACAGAAGCTAAAGTTAGGCAATGCTCTGAGGATATTTAACGAAGAAACACAGATTCCCTTGATAGCCTTTATTACAGCCAAAAACAAATCTCATCAATTCTAATGAAGTAGTCAATTAATACAAGCTACTGAATTTTATATATTTTTCTTTGTCCTCCCCCTCTGTTTCTCCTCCATCATGCCTTTTCCAGCCTAGCTCTCTAGTTGGGTGGAACTTCAACTCACATATTTCACAGCTAGCGTGATTACCCCTAGTCTAGCTAACTGGGAAGGTTTTAGCTTGGGGATGGTTGGATTACTTATTTTTCATTCTTCTCTATGTTCTAGCCATCCAGACTCTTTTTTTAAAGAATGAACCTGAGATTATTCTCTCCTTGCAGGACTTCAGCAACTTGTGACAATAAGTAATACATGGTAAGGAGGCTGGTAATGTGTCATATAGGGTCAAAAGGGTGAGAGAGCAAAATTCAGCGGTGTAGAAGTTTAGAAATATACTTGTGGTAGGAATTTATGTGTTAAGAATATTGTAAGAGCATGAGAATTGTCTTGCTGGAACACACCTTTCTCTGTTTAGTCCAGCCTCTTCTGTCTAAAAGTAGCTTGTCAGATACTTTCAAGAAGTCCAAAGCGGTCTTTGAAAGCAAATGTTGTTTTCCTCCTGTTTGTGTCTATCTTCTGCTCTTTAGAAGTATAAGGCCATTGGATGATCACATATATCAGAGAGTTGTGCAACCGTCCTAACAGTTTCTTCTTGAGGGTTCAGGTCATACTTCACAGTGGAAAGTCATACTTCTCCACTGTGCTGAATTATATTTTTGAAACAGCATTTGGAAAAAGGCTAAGGCAACGCATGGATTAGAGAGTATTAGCATACCAAGACCAGCGTGCCACCTTGGCTCTTCCAAATTCCTTCTGCTGTAGCACTGGAAAATACATTGGACTTTTAAAATGAAATTCCTTCTTGTCTCATTCTTCTAAGCTTGCTGCCTTCACAATCATGAAGTTGCCAGTTTCTCAGGCTATGTGATGGAGGAGGGAACCCATTCACCCCTGGTCACTGCTAAGCCAGCTGAATCACTACAGTGAGCAGGAAGTGACATGAACTTGAAGAGAACTGAAGAAATGCACAGCAGGATGATTGTGACTGAAAGGCCATCTATTAAAGACCTTTCAGTCAATCATATCAATAATAATGGGTGTATTGAAGGCAGTTGCAAACAGAAGGATATCAAGTTTGGGGGAGGCTGTTGTAGATCTCCAAGGGCAAGGGGGGCCTAAACAGTGATCCACTGATGCAAAACAGAATGGAACAATTATCATGGCATTTCTTAGTTTCTGTCATTGGCTGGTGTTGGAATCTTGTGGCCTTTAGCAGCCCTGGAATGAGGTGTGTAGAACTGGGGGGCAGGGGGGGCATGCGTAGTAGTTTGCTGACACCCTAATTATGTATGTACTTCTGAAGGTAAAATAATGTTTCTTTTAGCACTCTGTAGGCATGCAGGTGGTGAGACAGGAAATTAATTACTGTTGAGAAGGAATAAAGTTGATTTTTTCCCCATTTTTTAAAAATCCCAAATCCTCCAGTCAGTAACATCCCCTCATTGTACTAAGCCATAATTTATTTAACCATGGTTCATTGGCTGAGTTTATACAAAATGCGCAGCCCAAATCAAACCAACTACTTCATGGCTTCATGCGTTTCGTAGCAAATTCGGCTGCTGTGAAACCCAATTCTAGGAATTGAAAGGTGGGAGTAGTTGTCATTTTTCCCCCAAAAAAATAAGCAATTACACAAGATGATGCAATCACTTGAAAACATATTTTTGCTTTATGATCTCGGAGAGATGTGTGGCTATTGCTTTCCTCTTTTTGTTTGTTTGTTTTTTGTCTTTTGCTCATATTATTCTATGAAATATGCGGATTTCAACCTTTTATAGACTTGAGGAACATGCATTATACATTATGCTAAAAGAAGCTGTCTCCATGATTTCTAGTGGGCACTTTGAAGTAAGTGACTGCTCTGCAGCTGATGAGAGAGTGTTTGAGTTCTGCATTTAGCCATCAAGCCAGTGGGGTATCCTGTAAATATATTATATATAGTTGACAAATTTAAATATTTGTCATCTTGTCAGTGGGCAGAGAGAAAAATCAAAATCAGCCAGCAATACTTGTGAATAATGGCTTTATAAGATTATCAAAGAAATCTTGTAGGCACAAACATATCAGATCCTAAGACTTAGGAGATGCTTTGGAAGAGGGATTGTCCTTATTTAAAAAACAGTTGTCTCTCTGAGAAAACCAAAATGTCGAATCCATTCTAGCAGTAGCTATCATGATCAGCCAAAAATGTTAATGGAACAGGGAAATTAGGCCTATTAGTTTGTGCTGCAAAAATCCAGGCAAGCACTAGATGTCAATAAAGATTTAGAAGCTTCTGTATCTCTTTGGTCCCATCTATTGTTATGCTGAGTTTTGCAGTCCAGATATAAGTGAAATGGACAGTGATGAAGAATGATCTTCATGTGACAAGGTAGTAAAGGTAATAATAATGTCAGTTCCTGAGTTGGGAAGAGGTGGAGGGAAGATTTTGTTCTTGATCTTTTCAGCTCCACAGAAAATTAGGACCAGGCCTCCTCCTCACTCCAAGTAAAGTCTTCATTCATTCATTGGTAATATGTTCCTCAGAATCAGCTGCCCATGTTAGTTGATGCAAGCTGAAATTTCTGTGTTGGTAAGGTCAGAGTGATCCTAGGCACTGGAAGTTTGCAAGGGAAACTACTCAAACCAATTAATTCAAGGGGAGTTAATAAGTAGACATACTTCACATGATCACCTGCATGAAACTGTTGCCAGCAGGCATCACCAGAGAAGTAGTCAAAGTCATCATGGTGCATTGCAAAATGTTAACACCATTAGGGTGGATTATTTTCAGGCTATAAGGAAGAGGTAGTTTACAACTACATGTTTATTGAGTAGATTAACTAATTCTTGGGTAGCATCTTAAAAAGAAAATTTTAAATTTACCTATGAGGGATCATATTCTTTCTCTGCTACCAGTACAGAACGAAAGACAACTTCTAGCAAGAATAACTGACAAGACCACAGGGAAGAGAGCAGGATAATAAAAAGCATTAGAGAATATTTCAGCATTCTGTCTCACAGACGTCTAGTTGTTTCTTATTTTCAGTGAGGATCACCATCCACCAGCTACTAATGAAAGGATGTGAGTGCTGAGTTTGCCTGCTACGTTTTCAGAATTTCACAATCGGAACTATTCTAAGGTTCAGTGTTGAGTTGTTAATTAACTTGCAGTGGAAAAGAGAGAGAAAGAGAGAGAGAATGGCTTACTATGGTCATAGACCAGTACATGCAGTGGGGAGCTAATCTGGAGGGCAAAGAGGTCATTGTGGATATCATCTGGGGCCTAGTTGTTCATGTAACATCCTACCTGTAGCCTAGAAAGGTGTTCCCTTAGATAAGCCCCTCTGTTTGTCATTCTCCAAGAGAAACACAGAATACTAGTCCTCTCCATGCTGCAGCTCACCAGCTCCATCATAAGCCTGTTTTTGCAACCCGAAAAATGGGAATGGAGGTTTTTGTCCAGAATGAGCAAGGGTGTCTTCGTGGCTGGGGGACTCTGCAAAGCTGAAAGGGTGTCAGATTGCAGAAGCTTGAGCTGGAGAGTCTACAGCTGTTTCCTTGTATATCTACAATTGTTGGTTCAGTCCTTAGTATCTCCAGGAAAGATTGAAAATAATGGTCTTGGATACAGGTAGTCCCCGGGTTAAAAACGCCCGATTTAAGGGCAACCCATAGTTAAGCCTATGGTAGCAAAATCCAAGCTAAATACACATTGGTTTGAGTTAAATACACAATGGTTCAAGTTAAATACACAATGGTTGGAGTTCATTACACAATACTACTTATAAGTATTACAGAATAATACTGTTTCGGCTTATATATAAATTTGACTTAAGGACAGACCTTGGGAACAGAACTCTTAAATTGGGAACTACTTATGATCTTGAGTACCTGCTGCAGCTTCCTGTATGACTAGGCACCAAAGAGGAGTTGCAGTGTTTTGTCTTTTTATGATTCTGGGGCTCTTTAAAGGCTCTGCATTGGTCTCCAAGTCATAGACATGTGCAGGAGAGGG